CGAACTCTGCGGCCATGGCACATGTGTGAGCGCCAATAATATACATAACTACACTTGCATTTGCGATGTTGGCTGGACATATACAAATTCTTCTCCAGCATGTGTAATCGATATTAACGAATGTGAGCTTCACACTAATCCTTGCCATAGTGAGTGTATTAATATGCCAGGTAGTTTTAAATGTGGTCCATGTCCAAATGGATACACTGGAAATGGCATTACTTGTCTTGACGTGGATGAGTGCGCTATCGATAACGGTGGTTGCAGTTTAATACCGAAAGTAAACTGTATAAATACTGAGGTACTATAAAATAAATAGAGAAATCAATTTCATTTTTTTGAATTGACGATGAATTTCATGTCTTTACTATTAGGGATCATATCACTGTGGCAATTGTCCAGAAGGTTGGTTGGGTGATGGTCATATTTGTATACCGGCTCCTTCCAATGATTGCAGTTCAGAAAATATTTGTCATCCTAAAGCAAAATGTGAGTATATATCGGATACAGTGGTTTGCACTTGTCCAGTCGGTTTGTCTGGTCACGGTTTTGGGGAAAATGGTTGTAAATCGGAAATAGCCACACATCCATGTGAGAATCATGAATGTAAGGCAAGTATATTCCACAGATCTGTTATAAGTCACAATGTTGAATTTGTTTATATTTTGTAGAATAACGGTACATGTGAAGTGAATGGTGAGGGCACGCGTTGTATATGTCCTGAAGGTTATATGGGTGCTACATGTGAAAAAAATGACGCATGCCATCCAAATCCATGTTCAAATGGTGGTAGTTGTAAGTTGGCTCCGAAAAATAAGTATCGTTGTGCATGTCAACGTGGCACTACAGGAAAAAACTGTGAAATACAACGTGAAATTTGCGGTTCCGTTTTGAGACAAGAAACAGGAGAAGTGATCTATCCACCAGAGGGTGGTAACTACGAAAATAGAGAACGTTGCGCATGGATCATACGTACCACAACTAATAAAATTCTCAATATAACTTTCAGTAAATTTGATTTGCAAACGTCGCTTGACTGCAGCAAAGATTTTCTGCAAATACACGATGGTCGTTCACTCAGTGCGCAGCTTGTGGGACGCTTCTGTGGAAGCGATTTGCCTCGCGGCGGTACCATTATAACTTCTCATCAAGAAGTATTTTTTTGGTTTCGTACGGATAATGAAACTACTTCAACTGGCTTTAAATTTTCGTGGGTATCACAGCCTCACACATGTGGTGGTCAATTTGAATTGGGTATGGGTAACAGCGATGTAATAAAGTCTCCAGGCTATCCCGGAAAAACACCTATTAACCGTGAATGTGAATGGGAGTTGGAAGCGAATTTTGGTTATCGATTTGTATTGCGCTTTTATGAAATTAATCTTGGTGGTGATTCTAATTGTACACAAGATACGCTAAAGATTTACGACTCAGATCGCCTCGTGAAAACTTTCTGCGAGTCTGAAAAACCTGCTCCTTTCTATACATCTTCAAATATAATTAGCATACATTTCCACACAGATGCTTTTCGAGAAGACAGTTCATTTCAATTACATTATGAGGTGATACCAAGTTCACCGAACTGTGGTGGAATTTTCACTGAGCCAAGAGCTACCATCGGCGGCCACATAAATGCAGAAATTTGTCTTTATCTAATACAGCAGCCCCCAGGTACTAAAATAAAACTAGAAATTTTAAATTATAATTTATTGGATAGCGATGATTGTGATTTGCAAAAAGTTGAAGTAAGTCAATAATATATATAATACATATATTAGCAGTTACATTAGACATGTATAAATTCTTAGATTTTTAATGGAAAAACTGACGAATATCCATTGGAGAAACGAATATGTGGTGATTTCAAGTCAGTGAGTCCGATTATATCGGAGGGAAATTACTTGCTTATACGGTATGAGTACGCGGTTGTAGGCTTAAAAATTGACACATTGTCTTTTGAAGCAAGATATAGTCGGAGTAAGTGCGTTATATATAGCGTAAATAGAACTTATGAGTACAAATGTCTTTTTTAAGTTTGTGAGGACAAATTTTTCGGTCCTGATGATGGAATTTTTATGACACCCAATTATCCTAACCCCTATTTTGATCATATGACTTGTACATATGACATTTATGGTCCATTGGGGAGTGTGATCCATATTAAGTTTGCAGATTTTCAAATATCTGAAAGTGTGCCAACGCTTCTGGATGAAGATGGCCACAATGTGAAATTGAAGCAACTTAACGACAGTGATGTTGATGAAAATCTTAATTTTGTTGAGGTTTGTAAAAAATGTAAACAATAGTTGGAAACTTCACCAACACGTATTTAAGTCTTAAGGAAAACATTTTGAATGTTTATTTTTATTTGCATTTTAAGGTTTATCTATCTAAGATAAGTAAACGTCGATTTTATAAGAATGCTACTCCAGAACCATTGGTATCCAGCCAAAATCACTTGCGTATTATTTTCAAAACGGCAGAAAATAGTCGTAGGGCGAGAGGATTAAAAATAGAATATTCTTTTGAAACTGTGCGTTGTGGTGGAATTTTCACGGAATCACGTAACAGTTACGAAAGCAACGAGAAGCTCAGTGACGTCTCTTATTGTGAATGGATTATTGAAGCACCAGAAAATAAACACATATCTTTGACTCTAACCTACACACCACCACAAAATGCCAATAACTTCAGTCTTTCCTTGCATTCAAAACTACCTGATACCAAAGACGAAAAGCTTCTGGCTAGGTAGGAACTATGATTTGTAATCTATGTTTCTATAAAATCATGTTTTTTCATAACGATTAATCCACAGTTACTCTCAAAATATTTATTTGAATGAAGTGTTTCACACGAGTGTATTGACAATAAAGTCTGTTAATGGCTTAACTAATTCTTCTGACTACTTTCCGGCGTATATATCTTTCAATTATACTTTAGTGGATAGTGCGGAAAGTAAGTTGGATGTAATAAAAATAAGACCTTTTAATTAAATCTCACTGATTTTTCACATTATTTTAGACTGTGGTGGAAATTTCAGTACAAGGTTCGGTGTACTTACGTCACCTGGTTGGCCAATGCCTTACGGTAATGACTTGGATTGTGTATGGATTATAATGGCGCCACTCGGTCACACAATAGAACTTGTGCCTAAGGAATTCGGTTTGGAGCAAGTTTCGACTGTATGCGATGATGATTTCTTAGAGATAAGGTGAAATAATTATTACTTAAAATTTAAACAAAACTTTGCTATTAAAAATGTTAATTACTTTCAGACAATTCGTATAAGATACTTTCAAAAGTAAATATAAATTTTCAAAATATATCACTAATGTACGCTAATGTATAACGTACATTAGTGATATATTCACTGATGCAACTTGAAGATAGCAATTCGTGAATCCATTATTTGGTAATTTTTTTGTCAGGCATTGTTTTTGAGTGATATACATTGTTTAAGAACAGAAGTCAAAACATATTAATTAGTTTAAACCTTTCATGTTTCTGTTTGTCACATTTTGACTTAACATTTGGACATTTTGTGGCTATATTATGCCCAAAAATATGATTATAGTGTGCCATCTGTTGACAAGTACACGTGTTGGTAAATTCATTTGTGAAAAGTATATATGTTATCCGAAAATACAGAGAGATAATAGTAATCTCATAGAATTTTAATTTTCCAGTTTCTTTTACTCTAAACGTGAAGCATAAACACTATATCATTTTCGAGACCTAACTTTTATTATAATCAGGTTGTTTACTGTTCGAGATAATCGAAAGCTCTTATAGGACAAAAGACGATGGTATAGGATTGTAATATTTTAGTTCGTCTTTCTTATATGCTCTAAACTGCAGCTCTACATCTCGCAAGGTTGTCTTTTAAAATACGCACTACGTACAAAATTATCATAATTATCTTGATATTGAATTTCTTAAATTTTTCTTCTCGATCATTTCTGTACTTTAACACCCATTCTTTATATATGTCATTCTTTATATATATTCTTAATATGTCATTAGTGTTTTTGTGTTCTTCATCGCTTGGAGTAACAGGTCACAATAATAACACACCTCTAACCTGGGTATTATATGACCTTTGAAAAAAATATTAGAAATTATTATTAAAAATTTGTGACTTTAACTCCATCTGTGATAAGCAAAATAAGCAAGTAACAAAATTTTTTAAATTAGTTGCATTAGTATCCCACTAAGTTATAAACGATACTTTTTTGTATATCAGGAGCGCCTCCTGTGACAGATCTTATCATGCATGAAGCTTTGTCAAAATAGAGAGCAGGTAAAATATGCTTTCCACTATTTTATTTTGACGATAAAGAGACTAGTGTAATATATATAGTATCTCTTTAAAGGTGAGGCTTCTGCATAAAATCAACAAAGATATTTAAAAAGAAATCTTTGTAACACATATGTTAGTCAGGCTGTCTATAATATAGAAATCACTCCAAACATGGATTATACCTTAGTCTGACACATTAGACGAGTACCAACATTTGTGTGATTGGCATTAAGTTTAGGCGCCGGGTGGCAGTAACGTAATGTTCTACATATTTACCTAAACGATTTAAATCCATTTTTCTGCGAAATACAGAAACAGATCAGGTTGCAGACTGGGTACTTTAGCTGGAAAAAAATTTTTTTGTTCAAAATTTAATTATCTGTTAAATTTAATTACTGTTAAATATTAAAGAACTTAATTAAAGAAAAATTATATATTTATTTTTTTCGATTTTTTCTAGGAATGGCATGTTTAGTAATTCTCCACTAATTGGTCAATATTGTGGAGTGAAAATACCAGACCGAATACCATCTTTTACAAATGTGTTATATATACGCTTTGTATCGGATTGGTATATTTCTGATAAAGGGTTCAATATTGTTTGGCAGCAAACAAGTACTGGTTGCGGAGGCAAACTAGATTCATTCTCAGGTTCCATACATTCGCCACATAATGCGGAAATATCTGGTGAAGTGGTGTGTAGTTGGAGTATAACCGTTTCACCCGGTTCCGTTATAAATCTTAATCTCACTTCTAATAATCCAAGTGCCTTATGTAGGCAAAATAGTTTAACAATTTATGATGGTCCCTTAACAAATAGTCCCACACTCAAGCTAAACTGCACAAATTTCGGAGATGTGTTAACATTGCAGTCAACATCAAACAAAGTACATGTACGTTATAGTGCTGATGGAGATGGACTTAAATTTGTACTGAATTATGTAACGAATTGCAACGTAATCATTAATAGTTTGCAGGGCATCATCGAATCTCCTAATTTTCCAGAAAATTATCCATATGACTTGAAATGTGCTTGGGAGTTACGCGGAGGTCGTAAAATGTCTCTTCTTTTTTCTCATTTGGATGTAGAAGGTTCGAAATTGGACTGTGCATATGATTACATAGAAGTTGTAGATATGCGTAATGATGAAGTACTTTCCACTCAACATTTATGTTCCATACCCACAAGTACAATTACAAACAGTGGCAGCCATCTCATATTAAAATTTTTCAGCGATGGCTCCTTTAGTAAAAAAGGATTTCATGCAGAGTTCAAAGTTGTTGGATGTGGTGGTCATTTAACGGATAATAACGGGCGCATTGATACCCCCAATGCTCCATATAGTGTAGATATCGATTGCAGATGGTATATAGAGGTCCCATCAGATAGACAAATTGTACTTAATATCAACTCAGTTCAATTTGGTTCATCGAAACATTGTGATTCAGATTATGTGATAATATCAGAATCATACAATGCTTTAGAATTCAACAAGCAGTGCGAAAGAAGTATTAAACCTTTAATTTTTACTTCATTTGCGAATCGTTTATTTATACATTTTCATACAAGTGAGAGACGGGAGCAAAAGTTTCTTAAAGCTTCATACTTCACTAAAAAAGCTGATTGTGGTGGAACTTATCATGGAGGCAGTAACACTATCTCATCACCCAACTACCCTCATGACCAACTGAAAAATATCGAATGTGTTTGGTATATAACAGTGGATGACGGTAAAAATATACTCTATGGATTGAATGGATATAATGTGACGAGCTCATTAAATTGCACCAGTGCTTCCATAACAATTAGTGAAGAATTAAATGGAGTTTGGACACCAAAAAAACCAATTTGTGGTGATAGTGAATATGTATCTTCAATGGATCTTTACAATCTTTGGTTTAGTGTAGGAAATCAAATAAGTATTACCGTAAAGACCGATGTTAATAGTACTGCAATGTTTGCCTTTTCATATTACGAGGTAAATTTGAAGTAAAATCGCTTCTGTAATTATTTTGCAAATGTTGATGTTTGTAAGAATGTGTTTATTTATGTATGCATTTATTAATAGAATTTTTTTACAATTACTCATAGGAATGCCATGTCACGTTAACCGATACCAGTGGTGTTCTTAGCTCCATTTCTTCGAAATATTGCAAATGGGTTATTGTAGCAACAGAAGGTAAAGTATTCTGATAATATATTATACTAATATTATATTAATCTTTTTTTATAGGTTCACAAATAAATTTAAATATTTTGCATATAGAATGTGATGGTAAGCCTTTACACAGTTTAAAGGTAAATTAAAAAAAATTAATTTAAAATGATAAATATTAATTTTCTTTTCAAATGAAGATATATGACGATTCTAAAACATTATTACACAATTTTTGTGAGGAGCACACATCACATGTTATCGCATCAAGTAATTTGACTATTCAAGCTCAGTTTATAAACTTCCGTGCTTCATACTCCACCATACAGACGTCATGTGGTGGTGTTATAACGTCTCTGCGTGGCACTTTAGCGTCGCCTTATTATCCTAGTACTTATCCATCAAATGTAGAATGTGTTTGGGATATACGAGCTTCGAAGGGTAACTTTATTGAAATCAATTTCGTAAACTTGGATATGGCAGAGTCAGATCGTTGCAATAATGACTTTTTGGAGCTTCGAACTACAATTCGTGGTAAAATATTAGCAACTTTATGTGGAAAAAATATGCCGACAGCTCCGATTGTAGTACTTGAAAACATATGGATTAAATTTCGCAGTGTGGAAGGCAGTTCCGGCAATGGCTTCAAGTTGACATGGAACTATGGTACTTCGCACAAAATGTATAACTGTTTTAAGCTTGCATTATTAATATTTGCATTGCATTATATTACATTAATATTTTTCTTTGATGCATCATACTAATTTAAGCTCTTCATTATCGGCAGTTGCGTAGATCAATCAATATAGTTGTAAATGAAAACTCTTAAAAATCCCTTTACTAAAGTTAATTTTTAACGCTGTAGCTAAGGTCCAGAGCTGTGCAAAATCAATTAAATTACAAATTAAATTACAATTACAGAATAATTATAATTGAGAATTGAATTTCCAAATTATATGTGTAATTTAATTGAAAACTTCAATTACGAATTACAGTATAATCGTAATTTGTAATTTAATTTCTAAATTACAGCCACAATTGAAATTGAAAATTCAAATTTCAAATTACGTACGTGTAATTTGCAAAAATAATCTAGAGAAGAAGAAGCATTGAAACTTCTGAGAGATGATAAACGAATCGAAACTATGGTTGAATTTTGGGTTGTAAGTGGCCCGCATTTTGTTTGCGCCTTCATTCATAGTCTCTTGTTGGGTTGCTTGTTTTTGCTTTTTACATTTGGTGTGTAGAAGTGATCCATTAGAACTTCAAAGCAGATCAAGAGGCAGAAAAATTTTTTTTTTTGTACGCAAATCGAAATTTGAATATGTGCATTGTTGCTTTTTTTTCATGAAGTTGTGAATTTAATATTGCTGTTTTTTTTGTATTTCTGTCTTGTGCAGTGATCGAAAATATGTATTTAGAAATGTGTATACTTGTTTCATTTGTTAGGTTGCGTGTGTACTTTTCTATGCTTTTGCTCTATGATATTTGTTTGTTTTGCTTGTATGTTTTTTTTGTTTTGGATTGTAGTTTTTTTATGAAATTTAGGAAGGTGTCTATTTCGCATGTTTTTATTATTTCTTTTGTTTTAAGCGCTGATATGCATGTGTGTCAGAATGTGTATACATTTTGTTGTTTTTTTTGTTTAATTGATTGAATATTTGACTATGAGTTGCGCGTAAATTTTTTAAAGCAAATTTGAAAAGATCGTTGTTTTTGTGCATCAAATAAATATATGCAAATTTGTAAGCAGTATATGTGTGTGTGTACAATGTGTATGCAAATAATATAATTTTATCTGTAATGAGATTATGCCTACATTTATGTTTTAAGAATTATTTTTATTGCTAAATACGATTTAGAAATTATAATAACAAAAATGAGTAAAAATATGTAGTTTAAGAATAAAATTTTTGGACAAAGTCTTATGCTGGATGTATATTTGGTTTTGTATGTGCAATAATTTTTTATTGAATATTTATTAAATGGTTAATTGCGTACAATGTTTAATTTTTCCCTGTTATATACGTATATGTGTATTTTTATATTTCTGAATATAAACAATAATTTTAATAACTAATTTTTATTAATATCGTCTAGTGATAATATGCATGTATATATAAAATTTTTAAAATTATATATTTCAATATTTTGTAGCAATGTGATAACAATACCAAATATACTTTAAAAATTTCAATTTCAATTTAGTTTGAATTTACTTGTTACAAATATACAAACATATACTGCTTACAAATTTGCATACATTTATTTGATGCACAAAAACAACGATCTTTTCAAATTTGCTTTAAAAAATTTACGCGCAACTCATAGTCAAATGTTCAATCAATTAAACAAAAAAAACAACAAAATGTATACACATTCTGACACACATGCATATCAGCGCTTAAAATAAAAGAAATAATAAAAACATGCGAAATAGACACCTTCTTAAATTTCATAAAAAAAAACTACAATCCAAAACAAAAAAAACATACAAGCAAAACAAACAAATATCATAGAGCAAAAGCATAGAAAAGTACACACGCAACCTAACAAACGAAACAAGTATACACATTTCTAAATACATATTTTCGATCACTGCACAAGACAGATATACAAAAAAAAACAGCAATATTAAATTCACAACTTCATGAAAAAAAAGCAACAATGCAACATATTCAGATTTCGATTTGCGTATAAAAGAAAAAATTTTTCTGCCTCTTGATCTGCTTTGAAGTTCTAATGGAACACTTCTACACACCAAATGTAAAAAACAAAAACAAGCAACCCAACAAAAGACTATGAATGAAGGCGCAAACAAAATGCGGGCCACTTACAACCCAAAATTCAACAATAGTTTCGATTCGTTTATCATCTTTCAGAAGTTTCAATGCTTCTTCTTCTCTAGATTACTTTAGCAAATTACACGTAATTTGAAATTTGAATTTTCAATTTCAATTGTGCCTGTAATTTAGAAATTAAATTACAAATTACGATTATACTGTAATTCGTAATTGAAGTTTTCAATTAAATTACACATATAATTTGGAAATTCAATTATCAATTAAATTACTCAGTAATTTATAATTGAGTGTAATCTAATTAAAAATGTAATCATTATTGCACAGCTCTGATTTCACTACTGTTCGAAAAAAGCTCTTTATGAAATATAACAAGTTGGCTATTAAAAATAATAGTCACTTTCGTCTGAAAAATTTGACGTTAAATTACAACTTATATTCACGAAAAGACATTTCTTTAAAAATGTTATTTAAATGTGATTCACTGTTTTAAATACTCTATTTTAGTTTCAATGGAATAGCACACAATCTAAACTTAATGTTAGTATTTTTAGTATGGATCCTGCACTATCATATACATGCGCAATCGATGAACCATGTAGTGAAACCTTACTTCTTACCCAAGCTTGGGATACAAAAAAATGGCACATCGAACACAGTCATAGGGTATCCCTAATTCATGCTCACACATACGGATCGCCGCTTCTCTACATAAGTCCGATAAACTCCAAAACAAAATCGACACTCTTGTGATACATATGACAAACGAGGACCTATATCAAAACTGTTATAATTGCATCAAATATCGGGGTCTTGTCAGATAAGTGTGATGCGATCGATTTTTCCACAGAGTTTAGGCATTATTATTAGGCATCAAGTTCTACTCATCTTCCATTCTCGCAAATTCCTCATAATCTTTAAATAGTATGCTGCAATGCTTTTCTTCTTTTAACGATTCTTAATAGTTTCTCATAATATGAATTGTTTACTTGATTAATCGCCGTTGAGCATTACCCGTGAGTAAAGCAGTTGTTAAAGAAGGAACTGATGTGAAAATCATTGTTTATGTCATTTAACTAAATTTTTAGTAATATTGACAGAGAAAGAAATATTAAGATAGCAATGGAAGTCGTAATTTCTGATATAATACGAAGCTTTTACTGTAAGTGGCAAGATTTGGTTTTGAAAGTGCTAAATTACTGTTTAACTTAAGCACTGCAATGACATGGACTAAAAGCTCGAACTACCACAAAAAACCAACAATAACACATCCTAAATGCATCGACAATATCACCGGGCATCCCAAATTTATGCTCCTGTATACGGATCGGCCTGAATACGGATTGGCCACATCAAATATAAAATAATTTCATAGATTATTCAGATCATGTAAGATGAGTACGCTGCTTAGTTGATCATATTTGATGAAAAATGTTCATGGATTTTTCGGATTATGGCAAATGAATACGCTATTTGGTTGATCACATTCTTTTAAAAATTTGATGTGATTTTTAGCACAGCATTTTTTGGATTTCCTTATATAACAGAAGAAGAGTTTGTTTTATATTAACATTGCCTGCCGATGAGAAAATATATTTTATTCAGCCTTAAGTAAGATTCCTAGCATTTCTTTTTTAGATGCGTCTTCCAACGTAGTTTTGCAAAAAGCGTTAGTGATTATTCTACCATAATTGGCTCGAAAGAGTTTTGTTTAAGAGCATAATACTATGTGTATTCATAACTTTTTTCTGATTTAGCTAAAAAATGATGCTAGCGATCTTTATAACCTGGAATCTGGAGTCTGGGCCCAGAAGACATGGCAAAACGATTTTGCTACATAACAATGTGTCATTTCATACCGCAAAACCAGTGAAATGCACCTTCAAATCATTTGTATAGGACATCCTTCAATTACCTCTTTGCGTCAATGGGCCATGCGCTTGCAGAGTGTCACTTCAGCAATTTCTAGACGAAGTTGGAAAATGGCTAGAACAATGGTTTACCGTAAAAGACAAGCAGTTTTTCTGGTTTTTCTGGAAAATCCCATATATTACATATTTTCTTTACCAAAAAAAAAAAAAATAATAGAAAAAGCTAATACAGCGCTAAGAGGATACCACAATCATTCCAGGCAAGCTCTTACTATTTGTAAATATGACAAACCTTTTTTACCCTTTCTTTATATATTTCTCATGTTAAAAAAAAAAAATAATTATTCTTCCAGAAATAAGTCTATTTTTGTTCATGAACGCAAATAAGTTTCCTGACGTCATTGTAATTAACATTTTAATTTCAACCCAAAATTATTTTCTTTTAAATCCTTTGTTTTTCTCTTGACTAAAACTTGACAACTAATAAATCACTTTACACCGTGTTTCAGACACCAGCAAAATTTACTGCAACACGTATTTACCATAACTTAATAAAGTGTCTTCAACATGACGAAATATCAAACAGAAATGTGTCAAAGTGCCGGAAACACCACAGGCTATACATAAGCGCGTCTCTCACCACAATTCTTCGCGCTATACAAAATTGTATTTGCTATACACGGCGATGTCATCACGCTGTTAAACAGTGTCTGTCTGTCCGTCTGTCGATTTGTTTGCATTATACATAGCGAAACGAGCGCAACGAGGTAGGTGGACATCAAAATCACCGCCATTTAAAGAGATGAACAATTCTCATTTAACCTCGCCCATACAAGAACATTGTTTTTGAAAACATCACAATAACAACAATAAATGTAAATATTGAATGCTACATACCTACCTTTCAAAACATAGTCGTAGATCGGAAAAAAACTCGGTTCGAACAAGGCAAGACTAAAAATAGTAAACCTTCCGTTTGTTACACGTAGTACTGGCCTCCAGCATATGCGATTGAATTGCTGCGGACAAGCAAAACATGGTCGTTTAATTGAAACAAAGCTAACTGAACACACTCTGCCCCACGCACATTCACAAGCACTTGCCTACAATGTAGCACATACGTAAATATTTATGTTATAATGTTATGATGTTAACATATCACAATGGCGTAATGTAATTATTTGCAAAGAAATTCACTGTTACTGAGCCGCCTCCATGTTTTGTTTGCGGAGCGCATTTCACAGTCTCCTCTCTGTTAACAAAATGATTTTAATAAAGTCACTCATACGCCAAGTGTCACTTTGTTGGCAAATGTCAGCCTGCCTATGCGTTCACGTTCAGGGGGCCTATGCGTTCAATGTGAAATATGAAAAAATATATCCTTAGTAAAATTATTTATTATTCAGCTTATTTAAAGTGTTGACTTTCGTAAATATTAAATTATATTCTACCTTATTTTGTTTGTTTGCACTGTGTTTGGTGTTTATGGTGTTTATGTCGCCCGCTGTTCTGCTTTCATTATATTCATCGCTATACCTTTTTGCCTTTTGCCGTTTGCTGTTTGCCTTTTTCACCTGCCCGTACGTAAGCTCAGCCTTCTTAAGTGCTGCCAAGTAAGCAAATAGTGGAGCTAACCTCACATATCGTTAAGTGTTTTAAGTGTGTTTGCGTGATGCAAACAATTAAGGTCCTTTTGTGTTAATGTAAACGAACAATTTTGTAAATATTTTGATTTGGTCGTGAGGGAAGTGAATCACTTTATAACTTGTGGTCGCTAAAATCTCTTTATTAAGCGTTTGGGTATTTCTAATCTTCTTATTTAGTAATGACCTAAGTTTCTGGTTTTCTAAGTTAATGAAAAAATCTCTAATAAAATTTATATACTGCGATAAGCGTAAGTGAGACTTAATTATTACTGGAAATAACTTTATACCTCTCAAAAATTTATAAAATATGTATTTAGAGGGTTTTCGAATAGCGAAGAAAGAAAGGACAAACACAAAAATTTATTTAATTTCTTAAAGATTTGGCTGACCATACAACACTGTTTCGAGTATTGCCAAGTACTCATTATCAGTGGTTTTAGGAAATAGTCGAATTTCTTAATTAATTTAGGCTTAGAACCCGTGCCTGTCAAATTAGAAGCGTGTTCATCCACAAGTAGCCAAGGCTGTACAAACTTTCAGTGCTTTAGTTCCAGATTTTTTCTTACTTTTTTATTTAATTAGTGACTTTAACCAAACCCACTGCCGTGCCTTGTAAATTTTAAAATTATTTTCTATCTCATTATAAAAACGCGTAGCCTTTTCAGTAACACTAATAAAAACCGTAAAATGTTATTTTTGTCTGATGAAATCAGTTTTCGAAATTTAAGTCTCCACCGAATATATACTCTTAAAATCCTCTAAATTCAAATGGTTTTCATTTTAGTGGACGATGAACATTTGCTACTTTTTATTTATACAAATTTTGTTGTTGTTAAGCTTCTCAAAAAATAGCTTAAAGTAATTTGGGATAACTTAAACATATGTATATATAATATATATACATATATATATATATATCTTCATTATACATTTCTATTATGGATGATTATAGAGAAAATATGTGGGAATGAGTGAAATAAGAAGAAAATGAGGTTGGCAAAAGGATGTATTACTGGATTACGAGTAATAATACTGACAAAAATTTACATTTGAGTTTTTAATTAAAATGCAAAATTAATGCATTGTAATCAATATCTCTTAACTTAATATGGTTAAAATATACATCAAACATTTTAGTTTAATTAATATAATTATTTTCTACATGTAGAAGCATTTGAAAATGCTTACTAATCTTGTAAATTTTTTTAATTTATAAATATATTGTTTGAAATAATATTATTTTAGTTTTGTAAAAAATATTATAATAAAACCACTTTTTATGTACAATGATGAAATATGAACATTTTGTTGTGACTAATTTTGTTATAACAAGTATGTGAGTTTCATTGGAAGGTCTATATTAATATTAAAAGAATTGATAAATATTGGCGATTTTAATTATTTAACAACGTAGTCTACTTGAAGAGTAATACAATACCCTCTTATAGAATAAGTATGACTTATGACTTTTTTATCGGACCCAAATATTATTTCCTAAAGTGTTTTTGAAATTTCACGAGTAAGCGATCTGACGAATCTGGTGATTGTAATAGGAATTTGTACAATGTGGTCAATGTCAAGGTAGCGAACAACTTGTAACACGGTGTATGTTTTGGTTGAGGATGAGTTTTTTATTTTGCGCATTCCTCTTTCAAGCGGACCTGGTGGGCCATGTATTAATTGTTATTGATGCTCTGACATTTTTCAAGGCAGTTGATGACCCCATAATCTTGCCAACTGTCTTTTGTCTCTTTGGGTGTGATTCGCTGGCTGTTGTTCTGTGAAATCAAATGGTGGATCCAAGTTGTGTCCATTATCACCGTCGCACAGTGTGACAATACAAAAATTAGGTCAAAATTCGATATTTTCGGAACCAGTAGAGATATTGATATGAAATTTTCCTAAAAGAAAGTTTTTGAGATGATCTTTCTTTTAAATTTAATTTAAAAGAATTGCCCAAACATGGGCATTTAGTGATGACCCAAGACTATTCAAAAACTGTAATAGGCAGAAAGCTGAATTTTGGTGTCCAAAAAACCTACATTATAATCTATATTCCAAAAATTTTTAAAAATGTTCATATAAAATTGTTTATTATCGTTAAAAAAGCTTTTTACTCTTATTAGACTATATATATATATATAATCATTTTTGACTTTTTTTAAAGCTTCGAATATTGTTATTGATTATGTGTACAAAATTTTCAATTTTAATTATCAATAAAATTTTATAAGTGAAATTGCACAAAAAGTTAGCAATTTTTTCACGGCCATTTTCACTTTTATCTGCAATACCCAAAAAAGGTATCGAAGGATTTTCAAATAAATTTTCCTACTAATAGCCAAATAGTAAATCTTTACATAAAAAAAAAAATTGACTTGCGCACTCCTTTAAAGTACTTGATGTCAGTCCGATTTACAGTCTTTGACTGCTACATATCTCTAAATGAGATGTCGACACAGGTCAATATTTCTCTAATCTGCATTTCCGAGCATAAGAATATTTTCTGCAATTGCAAAGCAGACGAACAAGCCAGACGGTTTGCTCCAGGAAAACACTCGGAACACCTAAACAATCTACGCATGTCGTTGATATCATTCAAATTGGTATTGAGTTCTTCCTGTGCTGAACTTTTTAATAAAAGATGAGAAAACTCTACGATATGCAGGCATCTGTATGCAATTGAACCACACACCAATAGAAGAAAATCGAATTCTCTCATAGAGATGCGCCATAGAGATATAAGTCTTGTGCGAAAAGACTAAATGAGGACGATATCTTCCATCTGCTTTGTTTCTGTCCAGCCCTTACGCGGTCCCGCCTTACCACTTTAGGGTAGGATCTCCCGTTAAATAGCATTGTAAGCTTTGTCAAAGGTTCTAGATAGTATTAACCCTTAGTAACACGGTAACACTTATCCGGTAGGGGTAAGTGGATCCCCCGGGGATCGCCGGTATAACCTAAGCTAAAATAATAATGAAACAATAAAATACAAAATATAATAAAATACTATTTTTAATATTTTTTATTAACTTTATTATGCAAGTTTCTTAAAGTTTACATGAATTTTTGTTAAACTATTTTACTCTGCGTATGCTTCGTTCTGGTTTTATGTATTTTCTATAGTACAATAGGTTGTATCATTCTAAATATATGATTTTTTTTTTGTTGGTAGAACTGTGATTAAATTAAATAGTAAAGCATTTACAAACAATTATTCAAGAACATTTACATTGAAACTTCCATTCATTATGAGCAATACTTAGAAGGATTGATTTATATACGTTAAAGCACACATAATACTGAATCGGTTCAACTTAAACT